TGGCAATTTTAAGATGTGCGAACTTCAGCTCCCATAATTCTGAGGAATTCTGGGAGTTGAAGTCCACACCTCTTAATTAACCATAATTTATTTGTGCAGATATCAGTCATTGGAAATACAGTTGTTTTTTGTTAAACAGGGTTTACAAATGTTGTGGGTATTGGGCCTGAGCCCTGAACTCTTAAACTGTTATTTCTGCCAAGAATGAGGTGGGTTGTGGGTTGTTTTTTGCAGCCCTTAGTCTGGGAGAGGCAGTGTGTTTCTCTTACATCCCTGCAGACATTTTGCTCAGATCTGCCAAACTCACTTTCTATTTTATTTTTGGATACCTTCAGGTGTGCTTACTGGGGATTTAAAAAAGTCCGGATTGCGGGACAACAGCCATGTGATGGAAGCACCGTTGTACCCCATGTAAAAAATAGTTAATTAGATTATTAATTAGATGATGTAAGATGGTGAGAAATAGAATATATTCAAATAGATAAGACGTGTATCCCGAATATTAGACTTTGTGATGAATTGTGTTAAAGGGAATTTTGGTCACTTAAAACTTGGAAATTATAAATTTTAAATGTAAATATTAATGGGAAACTAAAAATTGGGAAAAACTAATTAGGACATTGATTGTCTATAAAGACTGAATGTTAAAATAACCAGGATGTGTATAAGCTAAAAAGTATTGATAAATGTAAGAATGTTATTTTTATTTAATTGATATAATAAGAATTGTATTAGTTTAAATATGAGACAGTAAATACTAAGCGGAAAAGAGAGGAAATATTTAATGAGGTAGTTTGAGACTTGTACTAAAGATACTTGTATGTCATTGAATTTTCGATTAACTCAGCTGGCACGTTGCTTTTTAAATACTTAAATGTAAAATTAGAAAATCAATAAAACATTTTTTAAAAAAATGGTTAAGGCTTTGGTCGCTTAGTTGTGGCTTCTGTTCTTTTTTTTACCTTCCTGGATGCTCTTATGCTAGTTGAGCGTATGCTGATGACAGCCCTTTGAGGTGGACAAAATTAGGAAACCAGTTTCATGCGTGCTATTGCTGCTTTTGTTAGAAGGTCATAGTTACAGAGAAACAAGAATCTGAATGTGCTTCCCCTTTCCTTCCTTTCTTCCTCTTTGTGAGAATGAGGGAAAATGCTGCCTGAAATGCTTTCTCCAATTACATTTCTGCCCTGGACTCAAGTTTCATTTATCTGAATGTTGTTGTCTCAATAGGCTCTTCCTCCTGTTGATCAGGTTATTCCTTCTGCCCGGTCTGCCTGCCTGCCTGCCTGCCTGTCTGTCTGTCTCCTTCCTTCCTTCCTTCCTTCCTTCCTTCCTTCCTTCCTTCCTTCCTTCCTTCCTTCCTTCCTTCCTTCCTTACTTCCTATCCATCCATCCATGTCTGTCTGTCTGTCTGTCTGCCTGCCTGCCTGCCTATCTATCTATCTATCTATCTATCTATCTATCTATCTATCTATCTATCTATCTATCTATTCCAGTGATTCTCAACCTTTCTAATGCCGCGACCCCATAATACAGTTCCCCATGTTGTGGTGACCCCCCAAGTGCGTGTGGCCACCAATAAGAGGGAGTAGGACAGCTAGGGAAAAGGGAAAAAAATGGCGGACAGCATGGTTTGGCGACCCCCGTGAAATGGTCATTCGACCCCAAATGGGGTCCCGACCCACAGGTTGAGAACCACTGATCTATCATCTTCTATCATCTATCATTTATGTATATCCATCTACTAAACCATCTGTCTGTCTATCTATCTATCTATCTATCTATCTATCTATCTATCTATCTATCTATCTATCTATGTAATCTATCATCTTCTATCATCTATCATTTATGTATATCCATCTACTAAACCATCTGTCTCTGTCTGTCTGTCTATCTATCTATCTAATCTATCATCATCTATCATTTATGTATATCCATCCACTCAGCTGCCTGTCTGTCTGTCTATCTATCTATCTATCTATCTATCTATCTATCTATCTATCTATCTATCTATCTATCTATCTATCATCTAATCTAGAGACTGCCCATCCCACTCACAGGGTGACTACCATACCACATAGGACCCGTAAGTTTTTTTTTTTAAAAAAAAATACAAAACGGCCGAGGGCTGCATGTATTGCAGGGTTTTTTCAGAAACAGAGTCACTTGTTCATTACAAAAAAAAAAAAAAAGATAATTCGTGGTGCTGAGCTTCCTACATGAACTGGAGGGAGTGGTCGAAAGCTTATCAGTTTATCTTCTGATAACTGGGCGTTCCTTTTCCTACAGAAGCCATTTTGTGAATCTGCTCACAACATGCTAATAAAACCGCCCAGGTAGCCTACAACTCAAAAATTGCCTAAAGTCACTAACCTCGTGTCCTATTTTACAATTACAGGCGAAAGTGCTCTAGAAAAGAGGTCCTGACCCACAATATTTAGGCAACATATTCCAGCAAAACTGGAAATTTTTGTGAGACTGGGGAAGATTGCTGGATCAGGTGTGAGCAAGAGGCAGATCATGATTTACTGGTAAATATTGTTGATCATCCAGAAGTGTCCTCATTTACAACCCACATATAGGGATCAACTCCTCGTCCTTCTAGATCAGTGGTTCTCAACCTTTCTAATGCCGCGACCCCATAATACAGTTCCCCATGTTGTGGTGACCCCCAACCACTTATACATTACCGGGTGCCAGGGGCGTGGCCAAAGAAAAGGGGGAAAAAATGGCGGACAGCCTTGTTTGGCGACCCCCGTGAAATGGTCGTTCGACCCCAAATGGGGTCCCGACCCACAGGTTGAGAACCACTGTTCTAGATTAACTTCCAGATTATCCTGAGATGAACAAAATCTTTAGGAAGAAAGATAAAAAAAAAATAGCTTTGGCGCAATGTGTGCCTGGTTTTAGTATCTGAAATGGACTCTGGGATTGTGTTGCTTCCCTTTAAGGTTATCTTTCTAGTCCTGATCTGTGTCTGTTGTTCAGCTTTAGGATTCTAAGTGATTTATTTATCTATCTCATTCGTGTGGCCGCCAGCCTCACAAGAAGTGATTCTAGGGGGCATAAAACAATCAAGTAATAATTAAAATACAATCATTTTAAAAATATAAAACAATAATTATTAATACTGAAGTAAAGGTAGTCCTCAACTTACAACAGCTGTTTAGGGTTAAGTTCGAAGTTACAACCACTAAAAAAAATGACTTACGAACATTTTTCACCCTTACAATTGTTGCAGCATCTTCGTGATCAAAATCCAGACGTTTGGCGACTGATTCATATTTGTGATTGTGGCAGTGCCCCGGGATCATGTGATCCCCTGGGAAGCAAAGTCCATAGGGAAGCCAGATTCGGCTTAACCGTGATTCACTTAAACTGTGGCAAGGAACGTCATTAAAAAAGTCACTTAACGGCTGTCTTACCTAACAACAGAAAGTTTGGCGTTCATAGAAGTAAAGGAAGGGTCTTCAAAAATTTAATATTGAAAGAGAAATTTAAAATTGAATTTGCTGCAGTGGAAATTTACTGAGTGGAGAAGCAACTAAAATGGATGGGAAACAGGAAAGGATAGTTAGTATAAAGGCAGGATGTAAGAGAAACACGTAGGCAAAATTGTTATCTGGGTCTTCAGAATGGGAAAAGGAGCTGTAAGAGAAGGTAACTAGCAAAACAGGAAAGAACCTATTTTTCTAAGATGTCATAAAAGGGGGGGGCAGAATTCAGGCAACTGAGCATGTGCAATTAGTTGATTAATATTAACTGACACACCTTGCATAAATTATCTCTTAATTTTAATGTACATGTGATGTATGATTTAATATGTAGCAGGAAATATGTAGGAGGCGGTCGGAAAGAGTATAACCTCGTAGTACCTCAGCCAATGAGGAAAGAGGACGGATGTGGTGGCCGGGACAGGGTTGTATAAAGAAGGGAATATTTTGGGTTGAAACTTTGGAGAGAACCAAGCTTTGGTAGGTTCTCTCCCCGCTTATTGCAATAAACGAAACAAAAGGCCTTCACTGTGTCTTGGTTGGTTATTGGTCAGGCGAGCTCGCCTCTGGTCACAAAGGAAAGTAGCCAGGAGCACACAACAGCGTCAATTGTGGACGTAAGTCGAGAACTACCTATGTATTTAAAAAGAGAATGTGGGCACACAGAGAGTGACTGTATCAATAATGGAGCTATTTTAAGATATGATTGATTCCCTGATGATATAGTCAGGTCTTGAGGGATTTCCAGAACATTAGCAGAGATGGAGCTACCCTAACTTTTATTTATTGATTAAATTTTTATGTCTCCCATCCTGCTGAGAGCGAATCTGGGCAGCGTATGGTGAAATAAAAGATAAAATACAGTTATAGAAACAGTTAAAATTACAAGAATCAAATAGGGGGAAAAAAGAGTAAAAAAAAAAAACCCAAAATCCAAGGGGTCACGTGGAGTGGAGGTGGAGCCTTTTGTCAACTTTAGAAACGGGAGGGGATGCTCTATTATTAATTATGATTATTATTTTAGTTTATTATCTTGTTTCTAAGAAAAGGCCTTGTGCTGGTCAGCAATCACAAACTTTGGCCCCAGGTGCAGCTTCTAAACCCATTTTCAAGGGCAGCCTTGTAGTTGAAACAAAAGTTCTAATCAATATGGCAGATTCATTTAGAGTAGGGGTCTCCAAATTCATCTACTTTAAGAGTGTTAAAGTTGTCAGATTTGGAGACCCCTGATTTAGAGAAAGAGTTACCCTGTTTTTCCAAAAATAAGACCCAACTGGAAAATAAGCTCTAGCATGATTTTTCAGGATACTCCTAATATAATCCCCACCCTAAAAATAAACCCCAGTTAAGCAGACGGACGCATTTAGTACCGTATTTTCCCCAAAATAAGACCTCATGCGACTTTTAGAGCAAAAATTAATATAAGACACAGTCTTATTTTGGGGGAAACACAGTAATGAAGGAGACCCCACTTTGCCTGCCTTAAAATTCTCATCCAAAAAGCTCCACAGCATAGAAGACAGTCTTTTTTATTATTATTATTCCAAATACTGGGATATAGATGGCAAGATTAATGTCTGCTCCTTGCTGAAACATTTAGTAGCACAATGGCAGGCTGATATTAAACTCGGAAGCTTTTAGCTTCCCCCCCAAAACAACAACAACAACAAAACCCTGAATTGAATGTAGTGCCCCAGCAGTGATGAAATTTCTCAAGAAACTTATCGTTCTCTGTTGTACAAAATAATAATAAAAAAAATCCACTTGTTAGTATTCTAAACCGAACGCTTGGATGCTAAAATGCTCCGTGTTGTGTGGGGTTCATAAACTGAAGGCTGATGGGCTGCATGGAAGCTGAATTGGGGATACCGATGGGGGCAGGTTGAAGGGTCTGCTGACTTTTGTTGTCCTGCAGGAGAAAAGATGGCTCCGTAGACGTGGCAGCCATACAAGGCATGCTGGTGATCACCATGATATCTGGACGCAAGGAGGAGCTGGTTTCTGATGGGGTTGGTAGACCTGCAGCCCCAGCGATGGAGCCTTGGCTGGCATAGCTGAGTGCCAACTGCTCCAAGCGTCTCTTCTTGAAGAAAGCCTGGGTGGTGGCATGCAGTGGCTGGAGAAGACGAGGGATGGGTTGTCCTGGGTGTAGGAAGAAATCAAAGCCGGAGCAATCCGCAGGATCATAGGCCAAGGGGCAGGGGGACCCTTCGTTCTCGCCAGGCCAGGCAAAAGGGAAAGGGAGTGTAAAGTCTTCGGTGAGTACCCGAATGGCAAAGTCATCTTCTTTGCCAAATTCCTTGTAGGCCCTCTGGATGCTGTGGAAGTGCTCTTCCCATTTTTTCATGTCTCCGTCGTAGATGTCTGGAAAGGAACCCGGAAGTGTCTGGAAGAGCCTGGAGAGGGTTGGGCCAGCTGGAGAACCGGACAAGCTGTAGATGACTCCGGTTGGGGTGCTGGGCGAACCCGTCTGGTTGAAGATGGGTGGTGGCTGGAGGGATGTCAGAGATGGGGGCAGCAGGAAGTCTTGTGAGCTGCTTCCGAGGTCTCCTCCAAACGTGGATCCACTACCTGTAGTGGGAAGGGATTTGCCCTGTTGCAGTGAAGCCAGGGGACCTGAAACTCCGCCATCACCTGCATGGAACATAAGAGAAAAGACAGGAAAGTTAGGCTACATTTCAGCAAACTCGCTTGTTGGGGAGAAGTTCTCTTGAGGCTCTCCAAAGAAGATGGTAAATAATCCTTCTCAAAGGACTCCCTTGTGATACAAGAGGCAAATGGCAGAAAAGTCCAAGTAGCAGAAGAGTTGTATGGATGGTATAGTCTCCCTCAATGAAACAAGAGCTTCTTGTTCAACTTGTGCTAATGCAGTGGTTCTCAACCTGTGGGTTAGGACCCCATTTGGGGTCGAACGACCATTTCACGGGGGTCGCCAAACAACGCAGTCCGCCATTTTTTCCCCCTTTTCCTTAGCTGTGCTATTCCCTTTTATTCTATTGGCTTTTGAAAGCCAATAGAATAGACTCTCTTGAATAGAGTCTAATTCTATTGGCTTTCAAAAGCCAATAGGAATTATCCAGGCTGTCTCTCCCCTGCTGAGCCCGCCAAAAGTCCCATTCTGCAAACGGTGCTGCACCAGTTGAGTAGTCCTTGACTTACGACCGGTTGAGTAGTCCTCAATTTACGACTGGTTGGGGGTCGTGACATTAAAAAGGTTGAGAACCACTGTGCTAATGGATTCAGAAGAGAGAGAAAAAAAATGTTGGCCCTCACAAATGAGGACTAGCTTGGAAATATCCCTAAAACTTGTGGATTTTTGGTGAGACATAAGAGGTTGCAAGACAGAAAAAAGAAGTATCTTGATTAGCCGAAGACCCATCAAAACGAAGAAATCTTTAAAATAGTGTTAAACAATATTATCCCTTCAAACGAACATCTAGCAGGAAGGAAAACTCAACAAGGATCTTCCAAAACAAATACAATCCATTACTTCTCCCCACCCCCACCCCTTGCTATTTTGATTCTTGGCTTTGACTTTTGGTTTTTTTCCCCCCATTTTTTTTTTCATGTCATTTCAATATCTTTGATCAATTTTATTGAAAAAGCAATCCATAAAGTAGGACAGACACCCCCCCCCCCAAAAAAAAACCCCTGAAGGGGAACAGCTAATGATTCAGTAATATTACTGGCCGGTAAAGTCTTCAGCTTACTGTATTTTGGGGGGCAATTTTAAGGGGCAAAATAGTTGTGTTCAGCTTCTTATAGATGCAGAAAATCTATTTTGCCTGTTCATTGGACGTTGATGGTTTTGCCATGAAGTTTTGGTGGCGCATTCTGGACATCGTCTATGTGTTGTTAAAAAAAGGGGGGGACTGGGTGTATGCTGCAAATTGCTCGCTCCTTCTTTGAATTTTGCTAGTAAATAAAACAGCAGCAACAAAGCATCTCCAAGGAGACGAGAGAGAATATGGCTATAGTAATAAAACGATGGTTGGAGCAGCAACAAAGAGTCTTTAGAAATTATGTAGATTTCTTGATGGGAAGATTGCCATATATAAGCGGATGATATTAAAGGGCTATTATATATGGTGATTGGTAAGGGATCAGACTTACTTTAGGTTTAGAGCCACACTCATCTGTGTTACTTCCTGGATGACCTTAGAATAAGAGAGTGACAAATTTAGACTGTAGGATTGTTGTAGGGAAAATATGAAAGAAAACTACCACGCAAGCAGCCTTAAGCTCTTCAAAAAGCTTGGATATAAGTATTAACAACACTACATGATTTTCAGTCCAGCACTTGTAAGAATGGAATAGAATTGTTGATAGGTCCTAGTTAGCGTCCAGTGGAGGATGCTTGACCCCCAGTTTCTCACGCTTGACACTGCCAAGAACTTTAGCTGCTGCATGCAATTGGACATCAAGATGGACCATCTTGTAGGGGTGAGATTTGGTCCTGCAACAGTCAGTTGTTAAGACCTACCCTACGCTCTCCATATGGCCTACGCTAGGGCCTGCTCAGTCTTTCCTTCTTTAGTCCCTGCAAAGTTCTTCACCTGGAGGATGGGATGGGTTATCCAAAGCCTCTGCCTCTAAAGAAGCCATTGTCATGCTTGGGAAGTTGATAAGAAAGGGGTGGAGGGCCCATTGTTGACTGCAGTTTCCTAGGAAACTACAATGGCTTTCTGATGACATCACAGCTGATCAAAGGGGAAATGACTGTGATGCAAATAATCAGAACTGAATGGGGCATTGGATGTTTTGCTAGGAAGAGAACATCTGTTGGGGAATTAAATCAGTGGCCATGTTTCTACAATCTTTTAATCCTGGATATCAAATTCACATTTTCCAAGTTCATGCAATGCATTGAATCCTTAATCCAAACAAGCCAGGTTTATACAACATGTTAAATTACAAAATACTTAACCCAGGTGAGCACTAATGAAGCTTAGCATGTTAGTGAGTATATTTGCTAGGGCTTTTCTTGATTTGATTGGGAGTTCCATGCTATTGGCCATCACAAAGAGCTTGTCAAACCTTCTGCTTAAGATGAAGCCATTTCACACTAATCATAATCCAACAAATCCAGGTTCAGCTCTTCTTTAGAGATCTTGCTAAGTGAAGCACATGTTTTACCTCCTATAGACTGGATCCATGCATATTAAATGGTAATATGATTTGAGACAGGAGCATTTACTGAGTGGGAGTTTGCCCCCACTGGCGCTTGCACAATATCTGCTCAATAACTTTGACGTTAATTCCCAGTGGAAAGCCAAATGGGTTGCTGAACATTCAGACATAGGAAGACATGTACAGGACCCCATGTCAAAAGGCTTTGAACTACTATGTCAGCAATGGACAATCCTGAATAGGATTCACACCTCACATGACCAGGACTTACTGTATAAATGGGGCATAGTATCCTCCCCTCTATGACTATTGGGTCTCACATCAAACTAGAGCACATGTGATCAGCTGTAAGCTGAGGGCATATACTGGTCCATTATCTGATATTTTTCATATAAATGATGCTGCGCTTCATTGGTTAGGTGGCCTAGACATTGGTGTCTGTAGATCTTTTTAACATGCATATTTCATGTGTGTTTTTAATTTAGGTGAAATGATAATATATATTGCAAGTGTATGTATGATAGGGAGTCAAGCTATTCTCCAAAGCGCCTGAAGGCAGGACAAGAAGCAACGGATGGAAACTAACCAAGGAGAGAAGCAACCTAGAATTAAGGAGAAATTTTCTGATAGAACAATTAACCAGTGGAACAACCTGCCTCCAGAAGCGGTGAATGCTCCAACACTGGAAGTTTTTAAGAAGAGACTGGACAGCCATTTGTCTGAAATGGTATAGAGCAGTGGTTCTCAACCTTCCTAATGCCGCGATCCTTTAATACAGTTCCTCATGTTGTGGTGACCCCCAACCATAAAATTATTCCAGGGTCATGTGATCACCTTTTGCAATCTTGTGACAAGCAAAGTTAGTGGGGAAACCAGATTCACTGAACAACCATGTTACTAATTTAATCTCTCTCCTTTCTTTCTTTCTTTCTTTCTTTCTTTCTTTCTTTCTTTCTTTCTTTCTTTCTTTCTTTCTTTCTCTCCCTCTCTTTCTCTCTCTCCCTTTCTCTTTCCTTCTCTCCTTTCTTTCTTTCTTTCTCCCTCCCTGTCTCTCTTTCTCTCTCCCTCTTTCTCTCCCTCTTTCTCCCTTTCTTTCTCTCTCTCCATCTCCCTTTCTCTCTCTTTCTCTCTCCCTCTCTCATTCTCTTTCTCTCTCTCTCTCCCTCTGTCTCCCTCTCTTCTCTCTCCCTCTTTCTCCCTCTCCTCTTTCTCTTTCTCCCCCTCTCTGTTTCTTTTTCCTTCTTTCTCTCCCTCTCAAAGATCCTTAAAATCCTTAAAAGTTATGCTTGGGTGGAAGACTTTTTCTTTTACAGATGGGGCGGGTGGGCCTGACTTTCGCAGACAGGAAGGACCCCGCCTGTCAAGCTGCTGCCTCCCCATCACCCTTCACGCTCTCTTGCCAGACCCCCCAGCTGACAAGCGCAAGTTTGGGGGTCGCCAGCTGACGGGCGCAGAGTTCGGCGCTGCAGTGGGCTCCCCTTCACCTTCCTCACCAGCCAAAGCATTGCCAGACGTTCAGGCTGACGGGCGCAGATCTGGAGGTCGCCAGCTGACGGGTGCAGGAGGTCAGCGCCATGGCAGCCCACCTGCTTCTTAGGATGGAGCAGTTGCCAGGGCTTGCATGGTTGTCGGTGGTGGGGAGCGAGTCAGCGGCCATTGGGGACCACGCCAGCGGTCCTGTGCCATGGGGGCTTGAGGCACAGAGGCACGGGATGTGGAGCGGTGCAGTGCCATGGGAGGCAGCAGGACAGGGAGGAGGGGTTACCCGCATCCTGCCCGCGGAACTCTGGAAGCCTGCCTGAATGAAGAATTTTAGGGGGTGTTGAAAGGGAGACAGACTGAGGACTGTATTAAGACCATAGATGGCTGCGTAAGGAGAGTGGAAGGGAGGCGAATTCGGGGTGAAGCAGAAAACATGGGGGAGGAAGGCGTTAGGAAATAAGCACCAAGGTACATGGTGCCTTGCAAGGGATTCCTGAATGTTCCTTAATTGTTTCTCTTCTCTGTGTGAGAAAAACTTTTGCAGTGTAAATCTGAAACCAGGTGAGATGGCGCAGGAGGTTCTTGGGAGAGGCGAGGACAAGCTTGGCGTTTCCTCTCTCCCAATCCCCTTCCTCTTCTTCACCCCCTTCCCCGGCCTGCCTGCGATCTGAGCTCACGGCTCTGTGGCTTTTCTTGGCCTAGCCTAGCCAAGCTTTCTTCCGCCCACCCTATTCCCGGGAGTGCTGAAGAGGTACGGCAGAAACACATAAATTGGGATTGTGGCGCCCTTGGGAAGCTGATCATGCTTTGAACCTTAGGAGAGGAGGAGGAGTCCCTTCCTCCTTCTCTCCCTCTCTCCCTGTCAAGCCCCCGCGGGCTCGACATGAACGGGCAGGGGAGGGGTCGAGGACAACGTGCGGGGCGGCAAAGAAGACCAGTGGCAGGCGCTGTTCTACCTGGCAGCGTGGATGTCGGCTCTGTGGGCATCCCGACCAACAGCTGAGCGGCTCCAACTTCTGGCCGCCGAACAGCTGAGTCCTCCGGGAGGCAACATGAGGGGTATCGCAAACTCGCGGGGAGGTGGGAAGGAAAAGAAGATGGAAGAGAGTGAGGCTGCAACAGAGAGAGCGGTGTCTCGGTTCCTAAGACTATTGGAAATATGTGTTTTCTGATGGTTTTAGGCGACCCCTGTGAAAGGGTTGTTGGAACCCCAAAAGAGTTGCGACCCACAGGTTGAGAACCGCTGGTATAGAGTTTCCTGCCCGAGCAGGGGGTTGGACTATATGACCTCCAAGGTCTCTTCCATCTGTTATTCTGTTATTCTTTTTTTCCTCCCTCCCTCCCTCCCTCCCTCCCTCCCTCCCTTCCTTCCTTCCTTCCTTCCTTCCTTCCTTCCTTCTCCAATGCTGGAAGTTTTAAAGAAGACACTGGACAGCCATTTGTCTGAAATGGTATAAGGTTTCCTGTCTGAGCAGGGGGTTGGACTAGATGACCTCCAAGGTCCCTTCCAACTGTTGTTGTTGTTATTGTTGTTGTTGTTATTATTATTATTATTATTATTATTAGCCATAACAATAAATAAATGTGAGTTTGGAGTCATTGGGCAAATCTCAGGAGATTTTGGAGAAGAAAAAGGCAATGAGTATTGAAAATATCCTTGATAACTCAGGAACCCCAATGGTTGTTTAATAAAGGGGGGCATATGATCTGTCTTGCAATGTATTGCTTTTCACACTAAGCCCTGATTTTTACTACAATATCTGACTATTTTTCCCATCTTGTTTTTTTTTCCCCTCTTGCCCAGCTGGTTTTACAGTTGTCCAGGTAACCAGCCACAATTCCCACACACACACAAATATTCCTAGCATTTTCTTCAATACCTCACAGTCCACTACAGCAACTTTGGCCTTCCAGATGTGCCAATGTCCCAGAATTCCTCCACCAGCCGGGGCATTGTTGAGGATTTTCAAAGTCTGAAGTCTGCAAATCTGGAAGACACCCAAGGTGGGAAAAGCTGAGCTAGAAATTAAAGGAGATGACAGTCCCAGACGTCAGATTTCTCTGACATCAACTTAAGGATCTCAAAAGAATTACTAGCCTATTAACAATGCTGGTGGATCCCACCTTTGTTGATGTTTGGTTGAGTGTTTTTGCAGTTTTTTGCTTTATCCACCAGGTGGCAGTAGAACCCAATAGATTGCCTTTTCCAAAATTCTAAATGAACTGTAGATGAATTGTCTAAATACTTTGCCTGCAAGTGAGCTTTGTTGATTCTTGTTATTTACTTACTATACTCTCTGTAGGAGCAAAAGAAACGGATCCTTCAGCTAATAATTGTAAATATGCTTCATACTTCAGATAAAAATAAATGGCAAACCCAGTTTCTTCTGACTCAGCTTTCCTTACTTGTGGAAAAAAAAATGCAAAAGTTGATATATTATATAATATATACTATTATTATATAATAATAAAATGAGTGGGACATGTTATAATTAATGATCTAAAGCATCATTATAGCTTTTATCTGTGCCATTGGACTGAATTTACAGGAAGGTAGCTGAAAGTTAAAATTGCTTGCCACATCAGTCACTCCATTCCATAAAGTGTGTGGATGTTTTTCTGTTAATTGAGTTAACTTATTTTTACCCTTGTTTGACTCACAAAGTAGTTCCACAGAATGGCTATGTCCAAGAGCAGGGGTCTTCAAACTTGGCCCTTTTATGACTTGTGGACTTCAACTCCCAGAATTCCTCAGCCAGGCACTTCAACTCCCAGAATTCCTCAGCCAGTGTGCCTGGCTGAGGAATTCTGGGAGTTGAAGTCCACAAGTCATAAAAGGGCCAAGTCTGAAGACCACTGTCCTACTGGAAAAGTGATGGCGAACCTTGTAGAGACCGCAACCCAAAAACTCACTTATTTATCACAAAGTGCCAGGGCCGCATCAGCATTGTAGTGCCCTCATTGGGGGGGGGGGTAGGGAGGCGCCTCTGAGTGCCACCTCTGGCACTCAAAAACTGGGGGCGCAAAAATGGGCCACCGTGCTGCAAGGTGCAAAAACGGCTGTGCCGTGGGGTGCAGATACAAGGCGCTGCACCATGCAAGAATGGGGCAGGGCTAGTGAGTAACACACATGCACTAGCCCCGCCCCATTTGCAGCACATGTGTGCTTGTGGCCCCGTGCACGCACGCATGCATGTAAAATGCTTCCCCTTCCCTTTTCTTCCATTCCACTCATCAACAATTGTTGGTGACCTCTGCTCTACCATCTCTACTCCAGCTTGCTAGTCAGCCTCTTCACCTCCTTTGTGCTGGGCGGGGCTCCTGCTTCGGGCAGCAGTGGTGGCCTGAGGCCCCTGCTACTGACGGCGGTGGCATGCATGCCAACAGAGAGGGCTCTGAGTGCCGCCTCTGGCATGCGTGCCATAGGTTCGCCACCACTGGACTAGGATAATATTTGGTGCTTTGTGTCACTCAGATTCCAATCCAGGAACAGCAAAGGACAGTTACTAAACTTGTTTTTCTCTACAGATTTTTTTAAAAAATTCTATGGGATACAAGTTGCAGCATCCAAGTCCTTTTCATTTGCAATATTGAGTACATTGCCAACAACAAACAAAGTGAATCACAACACAAGCATTGCATAAACATAATGACCTGCTGTAGTCAAAATCAAGAATAAAGTCAAAATGAGGATTAAAGTGAAGAGTATATAGCTGCTCAGTCAGTAATTCTGTGCCTGATTTCTGTCATCGCCTTAAAATAATGCTGTTTTAATAGAAAGAACCTCTGTGAATTAATCTCTTATGTTTCCCTGCGTTGATTTCTGACAATCAGTGCATTTTGGAAAGGAATGTATTTTTCTCCCCTAAATCACTTCCCTTTCAAACTTACTCAAGACGTGTCTAAATTTTGTTGCAGGTTTTCCCACCGTGGTGGCTGTTCTGTCCCATTAATATTTCAACCAACACAGAGAGATTTTTTTTTTAAAAAGACATGTAGTTCAGAAGTTCCATTTCAGAACTGTATACCATTTTCTGCAAACAAAACATCTTAAAAGGGCTATAGATCTAAAAACCCTGCCTAATTCCTGTAAAACTGAGCAAGTTTCTCCCTCTTTGGAGCCATCTAATTTTCCTTTAAATTGCATTCATTTTTAATCTGTTTACTTTTAAAAGTCACTTATTTAGCTGTCCATGTTGAATCCATGCAACATAATAACAGGAGATATTTTTTTTTCCAAATCTCTGGGGAGAGAAGATTTAATACAACCTGGTGTTTGAAAAATAACTCAGGGGACTGTTGCATTCTAATGGCTTTGGAATAAAACGGGTGTCCAATCTTGGTAACTTTTAAGACCTGTGTAAGGACCCACCCCACTTTGCATCTTAAGAAGACAGAACTCTTGGAATAATTCTTCCAACAGGCATCCTTTATTAAGAGAAAATGGTTGCAGGCGTTCTAGACAGGACTTGGGGTCCAAGCTCTCCCATTCAAGGTTTTAAGGGGTTCCCCAGTAGCCCCACCCAATCACCCCCTCCTCAGGCATTACACTCCCACCTCCTTTTCCTTACTGCCGACTGGATGAAGACTTCAGAGAGAACTACATGAAGGTAATAGCCCCATTCTTATGGTTAGTCCTTTTGGCGATATCCACATCCAGTTCCTTTGAAGTGTACCAAAGGAAGTGAGGGCCATAAAGCCCCTTTGTTCACCCCCTTCCCTTCACCGTATGACAGAATCCATAGAAGGCAGAAATGGGGTTTTCTATAGTTGATAACTAGAGATGAAATATAATTGGATTCTGACAACCTGTGGACTTCAACTCCCAGAATTTTCCAGCCAACCATGATGGGGAATTCTGAGATTTGAAGTTCACAAATCTTTACAGTTGCCAGAGTTGGATACTCTTGGTATAAATTGACAATAAGGTGACTGTTGCGTCCTTGGCGGGAAAACAGACACGAGAAGCAGCTGGAGTTCTCAGTTTCTTTTATTCAGCGTTCAGCTTACAGGAAGATGGCTTCAGCCTCGCCCAAACGCCTCGCAGCCTCTTATATAGGCAACTCCCGGGTAAATGGGTTACTTTTCCCGCGCCAGCACCCGCGCATGCGCACGGCGCTGGCGACAGCCTGTCTGGTCCCGGGCAGCTTTGCACCTGCCCGGGACTGCCTGCAAACGCCCGAGCCGTTTGCAAAGGCTCGGGACATAACACCCCTTTCCCCCGGGCTAAAACTACTACCAACATACAACATTTATTTTATATGACATTTTGCTCCCCAGTGCTCCCACTGTTTACTGGCCTTTGCCTTGCCAGCAATGTTATGTAGTCTTCTAGGTACTTGGGAGATTTCTTTGCTCTCTGTGACCTTCTTAGCTCTGGGTTACTGGCATAAGTCCCCTGACTGGAGGGAGGCGTGAGCCTGTTCTCTCTATTGTGCCCTGGTGTCTTCCAAGGACTGTGCCCCGATGCCTGGCCTGCTTGCTTGCCCACCGGGCTCGTCAGGCCAGGGCTTCTGTTACTTTGTGACCTGGTTGACCTACCTAGCTGTAGACCCTCAGGCCCCTTGAAGTGATAGCCGCTGCTGGGCGTCTCTGTAGAACCTCCTAGGTCAGTCCAAGACCTGTCAGGAGGCTGTCCATTCCCTGAACCCCATTCTGTGTTCGGGCTCGTGTGGGTTTCTGTACTTTCCCAAAACTCAGGTGTTCCCTGATTTGTGCTAGGGTTGTTGTAGTCGGGACTTGGTTCCTCGACTAGCTCTGTGTATGTTTGACCCCCTGTAGGATTTGGGGTAAGGTCAGGCCAACCTTGGGAATTGTGTGCCAGCTCTCTTGCGGGGAATGATTTGTTGGGATGCCCCCGGGTATCCTCCGTGACTGGAGTGCTGTGTGACGTGTGTGGAAAGTGAGTATGCCCCCGGGGTGACTCCCTGGCTGGAGTAGGCGTGAGTGCCTGTTGTGTGGGTAAGCTCCATGACTTCCTTTTCGGAGCAATTGCGGAATCTTGGGACGGCCCGTTTGTGGCTCCCTCAGTGGAGATGGGCAGCAGCTCGTGCCCTTCCCTTTGCTCCAAAGGGTCCCCCTCCCCCCCTGGAAAAGACCCAGGAGTCTCAGCAGAAAAGTCTCGCCTAGAGCGAAGTTGGTCGATGTGCCGACGTAGGACACGACCGTTGTCCAGGGCAACCTCGTAGGAGAGAGGACCTGTGATCCTGGACACAGAAGCGGGGACCCATGTATGACCAGGCCCGTAATTGCGAGCCCAAACCGGGGCACCCACAAGTAGTTGTCTAGGTGCCCTAGGATGTGAGGTAGATGAAGGCAGTCTGTCCGGATGCAACCGGTCAAGTCTAGTAGTAAGTTGGCGCCCCCAACGAAGTTCAGCTGGACTTCTCCCTGTAGAAGTGGACGGTGTGGTGCGATAAGAAAGGAGAAAGTCAGCCAACCTGTGATGCCAGTCCCCGTAGGTGAGTCTCTTCAAGGCGTCCTTTGCGATGCGCACCATGCGTTCAGCCATACCGTTGGTGGACGGGTGAAAAGGCGCAGACGTGGCATGACGAATCAGGTTTGCCTGTAAGAAAGCTTGGAATTCGGAGGAGGTGAATTGAGGGCCGTTGTCGGACACAATGACATCTGGCAGCCCGTGTGCAGCAAAAATCCCCCTCAGTACCTGAATAGTCTTTGCAGTGGTGGTGGATGAGACAGGCACAACCTCAAGCCATTTTGAATGGCTGTCAACAAGGACCAAGAAGAACTGGCCCTGAAAGGGCCCAGCGTAGTCAATGTGCACCCTAGACCATGGGGACTGTGTTTCCTCCCATCTATGCACAGGAGCTTGGGGCATCTCTGGGCGAGATCGTTGGCACAGGTGGCATGCATGCACCTTAGCCTCAATATCTTTATCTAAACCAGGCCACCACAAGTGGCTGCGTGCAAGAGCCTTCATACGAACAATGCCAGGATGACCCTCGTGGAGGGATTCTAAGACCCTAGT